GGGGGGGGTTAATGGAACATAGATTCGATTCAGATGCTGTTGTGTCACATGTTCAAACAGCAAGCAATGAATCTTCAGAAAACCAATATATGGCATTCTGTGACACACTACAATACACATCTGAGTGCTGGCGATGCGTGAATATGTCTGTACTGAACATATTTAACACTGTGCAGCACACCACAATAAGGAAACAACTCACCCTCCACAGACCAGCAACACCCTCCTGGTGGTACACATCTTGAAAACAGCCCAAAATGCCTCTCTGGCCTTGGTTTCCCAGAACCTGCATGCGCACTTTGAGTACATCTGTTGGGTTGGCTATGGCACTTGAGACAATTCCTGCCACCACGGCACAACATACATTCACTCGGACGTCCTCTTCCCCGCTGCCATGCGACACTAAACGCTTCAATGAGTAGTATGTGCCGAATTTGATGGTCCCGTATGTTGCTTGTCTCAAAACAGCTGGACCAATTCTGCATAACAAAGAACTCATTAAGAGGGTAGCAAGGCTCACAGACCTGGCCCTAATATTGTGAAGACTAGAGCTGAAAACACTTCTGGAACCTATGAAATCTGTTCTTTTATGGAGCCAACTACTTTACATCATAAAATATCATGCACTGAATGTGTGATCTAAAGAATATATAACATGTTATCTTACACATAACAGCCAGTTATTTACTTCCATAGCATGCGTCCTGTTGTGTGTTATTCAAGAAAAATATATATAAATGGGACAGTCAACACCACAAATTATTGAAACTGAGGTGAAATAGATACTACAGTATCAACATTCATTTACTGGCACCAATAAACGTATGTTAATAGTGTAGTATCTATTTCACCTCAGTTTCAATAATTTATTGTGTTGACTGTCCCATTTATATATATTTTTCTTAGCCAGTTATTTGTTATGTTCATGATATTTGCAACAGCAGAGAACATAACATTCTCATTTTCTGGCAGATGTTATGGATACAGCTGACTGTCATTCTTCCATAATAAGACGTTTTGGTCAGCACTATATAGTCATGATATTGACAGCGTAATTAAGTTAAAAAAATCACTATTGCTACTGTGGATTCTTGTTGTAGCTCCATGAAGCGAAGTATGTCTTAAGAAGCTAACAGTTACTCAGCTAATCAAGAAATTGATATAACATAATTTATATCTTATGTCAAATCAAAGAAGTCTTACCCTGAATACAATGCTCTAACACCTTCTTGTCTGGAGATCTGTAGCAATGCATCAGTCATTCCTCGGTACTTCAACTGTGCATGCTTACTGTCGATCTTCTGTCCCTGGATTTGAAGTCGAGTTTTCGTTGTATCGATTGGAAAAGTTCCTACAACAAAAGATTCATATATGAAGAAATATGTATAAAGAGATTTATCTTCCGGGGTATGTTGTCACACAATCCAGCAGAACTTCATCAATGTTTCAAAGGAATATACTGCTTCCATTTTCAGGGTTAAAGATACACTAAGCAGGTAAGAACATGCCATGTATTCTTTGTTGAAGTAAGCAAGCATTCCCAAAGATTTAAGCTGCTCTTAAATTCTTTGTTTGTTACTATCATTCCCAAATATTTGAACTTTGCCACAGTTCTGAAAATTTTATTAACTCCCTTCATATTATGAATCTGTCCTTTGTTTTGATAGCTTGAACAAATTGGCCAGGGAAAAGGAGACCCTATTCTTGTTATTATACGTACCAAATTCAGCAGTAACTGAAGCCAGTCCTCCATACACAAAGGGCTGCCAGTCTCTATCTCCCATCCCACTCTGTTTTGCTGGTTGAGCAGGGCCTGCTGTGGGAGCCACCCCTTGTTCTGGGTCTCTGATTTCTGCAGCCCTGGAAAAACAAGAAAACAATATCAATATAATACACAAATTTCTCTAAGGTCTAGTAACACCAGCCCTCTGCAAATGCCATTCATCAGGTAAAAAGTTACCCTGCGCCAATTCAATGTGCATCATGCCATGAAGTTGTAAGGGGAGTGGAGGAATAGCTCCACCATTTTTAACATTGGTACTAGATGGAGGTGAATGGTCAGCTTCATGTACCTACCCCCCCCCATCTCCACAGAAGCAGCCCCAAGTATTCATTGTATAGGAAGGTGGGTGGGCCCCAGCATCAGTCTTGATATTATGGAGGGGGGGAAACATTTCTTGCCTCTGCCATGAATCAAACCCTGATTCCTTGATCATGAGCCCATAGTCTAGTCACTGTACTGACTAAGCTATCCTGGTGCCCAGTCCTATTCAAGAACTGTCATTTATTCAAGTAGTGAATATGTCATCTGATCACAAAATATGTATTTTAATAATTATCATTGTATGATTATAGGAACCATAATTCTGGCAAAAGAAAACCTACAGAAAGGAAAGTAAAATTATGCTTAACACATACAGATTAAAATGCAGTCTTCACTAATCATACAGACAATGGAAACATTTAGAGGAATGAGAAATCTGTTTCTCCATATCAGAGGATACGAAAAGAACCTCCAGATTAATAATGGTAGTACATCTCTTTTATGAAGAACCTGGTTTAAAGCATTGCTGGAACATACCATGGTTTGGCACCATAAACAGTACAGGGCACGTATTTAGAATTAATTACTATCATTGCCGATAAAGCTGGGTATTGAACATCAAGAAGAGAAACTTATATTTTCTCAGTTCTTTGTACGTACCACTATAATATTTCATGGCAATGAACTAGATTTTAATGGGACACAGAAAAATAGAAAAAGAACTTTCAATACCTACACATACTACAAAGGCCAGAGTTTCCACTTATTTACATCAGACCATGGGACACATGGGCAAACTAGCATTTAAGTAAGAAATTTAAAGACTCAATGACACTAACAAAAAGCCAACACTTGATAGCATCCTGGGCCAATTTAATCCAGTTCACACACTCATAACCTATTTTTAGAGGACCCAGTTTAATCTGAGAAATCTGTTTTTCAAATGGATACTTCCTGAGATGATTCCCCATCATCTTCTGTGAAAATTTATGGTTTGCTACATGCAAGCTTAATGAATGAACAGTGATAAACAGGAATGGTTACTGTGCCAAAAATGGCTTATTTATTGCTCTTGAAGTTAACAATTAGGCTACTAAAATACAGGACCAGCACATGTCTCCCCATTATCTCTCTGAAACCATATAAACTGGACTGGCAAGACTGTGTATGATAAGGTGATATAAAAAAGTGATTCATGGGTACAATTACATCATGACAAATGACAGACCTGACCTCTCCTCAGAGAGGGCGCCCCACATGGGCAGGCCAGTAACTTTAATTTAAAAAAGAAACATCCGGTCATAAGCCCCAGCCGGGGCTCGACACACGATTACATCAGAAAACGTATGAACAGCCTCTTCACCACCCGAAATGGAGAGAAGTACGAAGTGATAATTCCTAAACCTGTTATAATGTAAAAATGGTGCAAAAGCGAAAGAAAAACATTCATCAGAATAAAATTTCACTCATATTGCCGCCCAGGCAACCGGCACATTTCCTTCCATTCATGGAATTAATTTCGTCTGATGTGACGAACATATATTTCTTTGGCGCACTATAGCGAATCATGTCGTTTTCCTGGCAGAACCAGATGATCTGAATGCATCACGTATATTCGCCGAATTCTAATGTGAAAGGAATTTTATTATCCAAAATCTAGGCACAAACTACTCACAATTTAAACGGGACTCAATGAAACTATTTATGACTTAACTCAAATACTGTCGACTGTGAACTAGAAATTAAACCCATATTGAAAGCCAAACCAGCCTTTCTTTGATGTATCGTATAAGACGCAAGGTTTATTTAGTTACTAAGGACTTAACCAAGCTACACTTCTTACACTTTTGTGCGCGCACTATTCCTGTAACACCATACCGTTCACCGCTTTCGATTATCGACTATTTAGATCAGCACCGCGAAACACCTATGTTATTGGTTGGCAACATGGCCGCCATGACACTTCGGTGAAACGCTGCTGCCATCTATGTTCAGCTTACATGACTAAATTAAAAATGACTTCCAGGGCCGAGAGCACAATCGGTAAGAAGGTATGCTACCCTAGCAACTATTTTGAGTGCTCCCCCTCAACCCCCTCAAAATGCTTTTTTCGCTACTAGCAATAAATACTTTTAGATCTCTTGTACTGCAGTCTCTCTTTCCTTCTGGCGTTCCCACTAATAACCTATATGCATTCCTCGCCTCCCCATTCGTGCTACATGCCCTGCCAACCTCATCCTCCTCGACTAGTGACATTGAACACAGTTCAAAATTTTCACTTCCCCGCCAACCTATTTCCATTTTTGAACAGTGTTCAATATCACTAGTCAAAGAGGATGAGGTTGGCAGGGCATGTAGCACAAATGGGGAGGCGAGGACTGCATATAAGATATTAGTGGAACCGCCAGAAGGAAAGAGACTACTGGGAAGACGAAGGTGTAGGTGGTTGGACAATATTAAAATGTATCCTAGTGAGACAGGATGGTATTGATTGGATTGGACTGATCTGGCTAAGGATAGGGACCAGTGGAGGGCTCTTGTGAACATAGTAATGAACCTTCGGGTTCTACAAAAGACTGGAAAATTCTTGAGTGGCTACACAATTGACAGCTTCTCAAGAAGGGCTCAGCTACAAAAGTAAGTTTAATGTCACTTCACCCATAACCTTTGGGTTGGATCCGAGTGAAGTTCTATCAAACTTTGTCCCCAACCCTTTCCAAAAAAAAAAAAGTAACAGCGGAATAAGAGCCTCTGCAGCACTGGAGTACAAGAGATTAGGTTGCAAATTAATTATCTGGAGAAAGTTTGTCACCAGGCCTGGAAAGTCATAACCTTTCTTTCACATGAAACACCTCTTTAACCAAAAGCACTGAACATCGTGAACTGTAACATACATGGAATACTTGTAATTAGGAAAGCTGAAGGTGGGGAAACTTGAAAGAAAATTCTGTTTCAATCAGAGATACATATATTAAGCCTCATAATTTCCTCATAACTTACACTTGATAGCCACAAAGAACACAGTTTTCCAGTTATATTTAAGTATTATAAATCATATATTGTACTAGCTATTCACACTGAATGTAGGAGGTAAGATGGCGACGAGTCAGGAGCAGGAAGATGCAGGTTGTGAGGAAAACAATACGTGCATAAAATATAAAATTGCAGAAGGCGTATGCATAAACCGAGAACATTATATTAGTGAGAGTATAATTGTGGATAAAACGGCATTAGTGAATCTACAAGATGATATAAAGAAATTAAGTAGTATGTTACAGTTAGCCATGAGAAGTTCGGGAGAAGAGGTTNTTATATGGCAAAAGTAACATATCTTACAAAAAATGTAATGAATACTGACAATATGGTATCTCTTCAACTTCCACTTCGGTATTGGATACGATTATATAGCAAAATATATGTTAAAGAAATGCAATTACTATTGAAAATCTTATGTTCATGTTCACCAGTCCAGTACAGGTAGCATTATATGGCAAAAGCAAGAGAAGGAATACACCTACAACAACAGAAGTGAATAACAATGTAATGAAAATGAAATAGGTAAAGAAATTACATAAATAGTCCTACCCACATTCAATCCTGATACTTATTCTGCTTCTCAGAGTTTCACACTGAGGTGGATAACCTCAACTTTGCAAGTCAATTATGAAGTAATGCCTCTTCATTCTTACCTACATGTAAAGATGACCCAGGTGTGTCAGAAAACAATTTCCCATACACTCAATTGAAATATAATTTTTTGAAGATAAAGGCCAGAATGAACTCTGACCAAGTGAAGTTCTAATATTCTGAGACAAAGGAAACATGTTTGCAAAGAGGGGAACAGACGGAGCTCAAGTTCAAAATAAGTTTCGTGTATGTAATCGAACTTTGGTTGACCATGTTTTCATTCACTGCAACATGTTTGCAAAGCAGGAAGGAGATGGAGCTCAAGTTCATAGTAGGTTTCTTGTGTGTAGTTGAACTGTGGATGACGATGTTATCATTCGCTGCACAGTAGTTTCTGTTGCTGCACTGCAACTGCTTGTCACCAGGGATACTTTCTCCAACTTACAAAACATTTAATGATGCTCATGTGACTAGTTGGCACACATATTCTTCCAGTAATTTCATAACTGCTCTCTGTCAATTTCCAGGGCTGGTAAGGGCAGGCCATTATAAGGGAAAAATGAAGAAGCATTACTTTCCTAATGACTTACCGATGAGACAGTACCTTCATCTTCCTCTCTGTAGCCCTCTGCCTGGCTCCTTCAGTCATCAACCTGTTTCTTCGCTTACACCACCAAGGAATGTAAATTCGTGTGAGACATCTCACAATACTATCTACTATTCGTTGGTGGTGAAGCAAACAGCCAGAACACCTAATCCACTCGAAGTCAATGGTGCTCTTGATGGCAGCTGTGATATGCTGCTCCACTGAATTCAAGTGGGCAGCCTCTGTCATTATAGACTCCATCAGAGTTACAGCAGTACCAACAGTCTCAACAAGCTTCTCAGAAGGATATGTGACAGACTGTTCTGTATCACTTCTGTGTCACTGTATCACTTCTGTTTGAAATATATGAAGACATTGGCTGATAGGAGCACTTCAGATGTCAGGCATGTCTTGCATGCATCACAGCTGACACCGCGAAGCACCTGTCTGGCAATAGAACCACTGACGTAAGTTACTGAGAACACTTCTATGTCACCAGCAGGTACTGCAGGACTCATGTCCATCTGTACTTGCTGAGCAACATGGAAACTCTCAGGCACACCAGCAGGGGTTTCCTTGTCATGACTTGTGGAAGGATTTCGTGAAGCAGCTTCAGGTGCCCTGAAAAGAGATTGTAGATTATCCAGAAGAGTAGCACCATCATCCTCACAATTAGTTTCTCCCAGTCCTCTAAATGCAAGGCCATTGATGATGCTAGTCTTCAGGGCATCTACAAACTGTCCCACAGTCGGGTTATTGTTCGAACCACAGTTTAAATGAATAGCTCCAAATGTGTTCTCCAGGGGGTCCTGATTCAGGTTTTTGGTGTGAAATTACTGAAAACCCGACTCTCTCAGTGTCCTCCATACATACTGGGCAGCAGCGATGTCAATAAGCCACCCATTCTGTGAAGGATGATGATGAAGACAGGCGGATTTACCATCCTTGAGGAAGATCCAACTCTTTATCCCCATAATTGCCTTTTTCCAGAGTTCTATATGGGGACTGTTGTCACTGAGTGGGCAACGCAGTGTTTTCCCTTGGCCAACACTTGTTCCACCATTGAAACTATCGAAGAGGTTGTCAACCTCTTCAACAAACACAGCTGTTGCCATGTATTCGCTGCTGCACCCACCTGAATGAGGGGGGGACAGAAGTTAGTGTGCCTCCTTACATGGTGAATTAGTTTCTTTACATTGGAAAATAACACATTACTTTACAAAGGACAAACGTTATACAAAACTTGTACATTTCATTACATTATTCCTCATATTAAAATCTTTGCCACCTAATTCACCTTAATCATATCACTGATAGTGTTGTCTGCTTTTCAAATATTTTCTAATTATCCTAAGAACAGTATTTGTGACATATTCTACATAATTTGTATATTGATATACAGTTTCAGAAGTCAGTTCAAGTCAGATGATAATGACGTTTGTTTGATTACAGCTGGGTTCTGAGGCAGTAACTTTGAAAACTAGTCCTCATTAATAGTCACTTCATTCATCCATGATATGTATGCAGTGTCCATCTTGTAGTGCACTCAATTTCACCTGTTATTTCACAACATGTTTCAGCAACATAGTGCCATCATCAGGTGCTTCATTTATGCTAATCTATTGCATTGCTTGCCATTACATGTCACTGAAAATTATTTAGAAAGTATTTAAAAAGTATTTGTCAACTATGATAAATTTTTATATACTAAGAACTTGTTAAGATTATTCATCTTATGTGTCCCAATTGAAACCCGCGCATGGTTCCTCCATTATGGGAGTCATTCCTCTTACACTCTGTGTATATCGCGTCTCGTGATGTGTGTTCCCTTTTAGGCTGTGGGTGTTGTAAATACTTTTTAAATAATTTTACAATGACATATAATGGCAAGCAATGCAATAGATTAGCATAAATGAAGCACCTGATGATGGCACTATGTTGCTGAAACATGTCGTGAAATAACAGGTGAAATTGAGTGCACTACAAGACGGACACTGCATACATATCGTGGAAGAAAATCAGTGCAACAGGACGCTAAAATACAACATCACTTCATTCATATAAGAAACATACAGCGCTTACCTGTAGTCACTAGAGCATTGTGGCTTGCTCCACATCTGTTAAGGTGTACCCTTTCAGCTGTAGTGAAATCACTTTCAGAGAAATGTTTGTTGCACAGAACTTTATTGTGCAGGATTCTAGCAGAATCAGTAGTACTGGATAACCCAACTCTTCCTGCCCATACCATAGCCCTGTAAGAGTATTACATATTGTCTCAAAACCTTGAAATAATTTATCAGTAAACATTACAAACATGGTGTAGGTGCTACATTACATCATGTACTAAAACAGACAATTCAGTCATTTATTTACTTTCCATTAATCCTTACATGGTTGGAAGAACAGTGGACATAGTAATAGTCAAAGACAACAGGACAAGTTCCATCAATGATATAAATAAAAATTAATTATATTTAACCCATAACAATTACACATATTATCAAAGACAAATCACAGTGAGTAAATCATTAACACAGTTTTAAAATATATACGTGTATGTGAAAGAATGCAGCACACTCTTGACACAAGACTACAATAATGAAACTTGAAAGTATACTACTAGGCATCCAGCATATAACAGACCAAGATCATTAAATAATATTGGAGTTAAATTATTCCTCCAATGAGTAAAATAGACTTACCCTTTAGTACCTATCTTTCACATAGGATTTTATCAATGCACTGGCCTTACCAACTATTCCATAAAATTCTACTTTAGACAGAGAGAGGCAGAGAGACAGACAGATATTGACACAGTCAAAAGTTTTCTTCAAATCACAGAAAATGCCGATGAACATTATTGGTATTGATGTTGTCCGGCTATTGTTCGAAAACAATTATTAAAAGAATCTGTAATCACATCATGATTATCAGTTAACTTCCCATCAATGTTTAAAAACTGTATATGTGAATTTTTTATATATACTAGTCGGTAAGATTAATTGTATTCGGGTTCTATTCTTATGTCTTGACTTAGTTTTTTTTTTGTACTACTTATTTATCTAATATGACTTTTCCACATCCTAAAGTATTGGATTTTATGGTAATAATAGATGAGTAATGAAAATGAAAAATAGCTTGTACTGATGCCTGAAACCTTTGAGAGTTCCATACTGGGGGAGCTTTGTTGTATATATGGCTGATGTGTTCTTTTTTTATTTTGTTTTATATTATGAATGCCTTGACTTGTTCCTGTGGGAATTGAATGCT